CCATGGTTTCTCAATTCCACAAAGGCTTGTGTCACCTGACCCTGAAAAACACAATTCATTGGGTACCAGAGACTGAACTAGGGAGCTGCTTGCTTACAGTGTCCCAGTGCAGCTCTCACCAAGGGGCTGCCAGAGAGTGCCAGTGCCAGCTGCTGGTCTGCACAGGTGTCAGAGGTCTCCCCCCCTGGACCAGCCCCTCGTCCTCTTGGCTGCGTTTCAGGGCCTGAGCCCTACAGCAGACAGCTCACACTTGACAGCTGCAGTGAACCACACTCAGCTCAGGATTGCAGTTGTCAAAGAGAGGTGCCTCGTTTCTCCCCGTGGTGTTCCCTGGGATGCCACCTGGAGGACTGAAAGGAACGAAAATGATGGGAAGGAGCAGAGTTACCCCCATCAACCTGATTAAGAGGCAGATTGAGGTAAAAAAAAAAAAGAACCATGGTAACTATGACATGTGAACCCAACCAATGCATATAAAGAAATTTAACAATGAGAACTCTTGTAATATATGTGGATATAAATTAACTGCCATGTTAATTAAGTTATCCCTATGTTTAAAACTTTGGCAGAATGCTTTACCTTAGAACTTGTATTGTCAGATGTATAGCTTCATGTTGCATGGGGATATCCATCAATTATCATTTGCTTTCTGATGGTTATGTTTCTTTCCACAGCATGGCACAGCATTTCAGACAACTGGACATGAAGGTAACTTGGTGGGCATTGTTTTTGGGTGGCTTGACTTCTGATATATCCATAATGAACTTAGAATACAGATGTATGTATCTGCATACATCTTTACAAATGTACCAATAATGTGCAAAATTAGATATTTAACCCTTCAGTATTTATGCACTCAGGTTTAACATTGATTTCATTGCAGGTTTGTTCCTACAATTCTTAGTTAAGAGCAATTTTTAAAACATACACATATTCAACTTTTTTATTGAAATCAAATCATAGAACAGCAGAATTGGAAGGGGTCAGATGGCCATCAGGTCCAATCCTCTGCTCAGTGCAGGACTCCATGTTAAACCATCCCTCTTAGATGGATGTCCAGTTGCATCTTGAATGTCTCTAGAGTGGGAGAGCCCACAACCTTCTTAGGTCATTGGTTCCAGTGTTGTACTGCTCCAATAGTCAGGAATTTTTTCCTAATGTCTAGCCAGAATCCGGCTTCCTGTAACTTGAAGCTATTATTCTGTGTCCTGCACTCTGGGATGTTCAAGAAGAGATCCTGTTCTCCTTTGTGACAGCTGTTCGAGTACTTGCAGAATGCTTCGTGTACTGGGGAAATTGAAGTCCCCCATAACAACAACATCATGCCTCCTTGAACCACTGACAATTTGCTTTTCAAAAGTTTCATCTTTGTCTTCTCCTTGGAATAGATTCCAGCCACTGTCTTCCTTTTATTACTTGCTCCATTTATATTAACCCAGATGCTCTCCATGGGGCTACTAAGTGCATCCTCCTGTATTTCTGTGCAGAAATATGTACCTTTAACATATAGTGTGACTCTGTCTCCCTTTCTGTTCTTTCTGTTCTTCTTGAACAGGTTGCATCCTTCAATTGTTGAAGTCCAGTCATGGGAGTCGTCCCACCAAGTTTCAGTTCTACCTATCAGGTCCTATTCACCCTCCTGTATTAAGAGCTCAAGTTCATGCTGTTGTTTCCTATACTCCAGGCATTTGTATATAGACACTGAAGAGCACATGCTTTAGCTTTCTTCCTACATCTTTTGGAAGACTATTATTGGGTACTGTTAGAGCTGCCCTCTCTGTTGTGATGCATAAGCCTTTGTCTATTGCCATGTCCAGGTGTACTTCTCCAACCCCTGTAGGATTCAGTTTAAAGCCCTCCTGATAAGCCTCTTCATGCAGTGGCCAAACACATTCTTTCCAATCCTTGTATGGTACAACCCATCCCTTGCCAACAGTCCATCGATTAGGAAATGTATCTCAGAATCCAAATCTCTCACATTGGCACCACCTTCATGGCCAGGAATTCACTTGGAGAATTTTTCTTTCTGTGGCTATTTCTCTTCCAAGAACTGGAAAGACTGAAGAGAAAACTACATGGGACCCAGAGTTCTTGACTTTCTTCCCAAAAGTTTCAAAGTCTGATGTGATTTCCTCAAATCTCCACTTGGCAGTATTGTTTGTTCTCCCATGTATAATAAGGAAGGGATATGTACCAGTGGGCTGTATGAGCCTTGGCAACCTTTCAGTTATAACACTAACCTGTCCTCCAGGAAGACAGCATATCTGATGAGTCTGTGGATTTTCACAACATGCATGTGGTTCCATGCCATGCAACAGGAGCCTCCCACAGCTAACACTCTTCTCTTCGTGTTCCTACAAGCCTTGGTAGCATTGTCACTACTTGGTTGATCCTCAGCCTTTTGTTCAGCGTTGCACAGGATAACTTGTTCTTCCAGGGCAGACTGCCCTCCAGTCTCATCCTTGGATAACTGAAAGCAGTTCCATAGTTCTTCCACTGCTTCAGAGTGTCTTCTAGTTCTTTTGCACCTGTCGCCCTCTTCCAGGGAGTTTCCTCCTCATTTTTCTTTCAGTCAGGATTCTCTTTTTTACCTCAGCTTGCTGTTTGCTTGTTTATTTATTTATTCATACATAGATTTATAGGCTGCCTATGATTGCCAAGGCCTTTCTAGTTGGCTTACAATATATGCTTTTGCACTTCTAGCTTCTGTACTACTCTTAACTGCTGCAGTTCCACTGCTCTGCCTAAAACCGTTTCATCTTCTCTTATTCCCTTGAGGTAGACACTCGCTCTTCTAATGCTCTCATCTTTTCTTCGAACAGAGCTACTGGCTTGCATTTGTTGCATGTGTAGACCATCTTGGCAAGAAAATAAGCATTGCACAGGCATTGCAGATCACCACCACTGGGGAGCCTTCTCAGTCCATTATTTCAGTTACCTTTTTGATTCTAGCTTGCTGGACCTTTATAACAAGCAGTGTTTTCTCTTGCCTTCCTTTAAAGGAATAGTTTTGGACAACTTGTTCCTTATGTGTTTCTTTCTATAAAAACTCTTTATCATTATATGACCCAAATAAACTTTTGTATAATTACAGTGTCAACATGTTTTAGAAACATAGAAACAGAGCGAGTCAGAAGGGGTCTCCAAGGCTATCTAGTCTGACCCCTGGCTCCAGCTGGCTCCGCTCACAACATGTCCACCATGTGCATGTCCAGCCTGTCTTTGAACACCCTTACCGGTGGGGCCTCAACCTCCTCCCATGGAAGCCCATTCCATACCCTCGGGGTCCTAACTGTCAGGAAGTGCTTCCAGGTATCCAAATTGAACCTTGGAAGGATTTAGGCTTGCTTTTCAATGTAAGATTTACATTTTCAGTTTGTTTTTTTTCTTTTGTTGTTTGTACAATTGCAAATGCAACACCTACTTTTTTTGAGGATGCTTCCAGATGAGGCTTTTATTGCACCATCCTTTTTCTTGCCTCATTCATCAAATTTTTCAGGGGTGGGCCAGACACTGACATCTTCTGCGTAGAACGCTGTTTTCCCACTGCTGCTTCGGTCTTTTTTTTTTCTTGAAGAAGAAAAATTCAGAATTAATGCATAGTGCAGGGAATGCTTTATCTGGAAACAATGTTGAACCAAAAAAATTTTATAGGTGTTGTTCAAGGACTGTACCTACCAAATTCATATATTGAATTCTCACCATAAATACAATTATTTTTCTTCATTTAGAATGTTCAAAACATTTACAGACTACTTAATGAATCTTTAAAAAGTCCCCATTCTTACATCTTCACCCTCATCCTTCATCTCTAATGTCTGTATTGGCACTAATCTATGTTATAGGGCTGTTATAAAAATTATTGAGATGTTTGTATAAATACTGAGTACTGTTATTAAGCCAAGAAGTGCTTGGCTTCCTGCCTAAACTCTAATAACTGTTTTATTAATGTATTTCATTTTCATAACATACTTTTTTTAACTTAAAGCTGAATGATCTGAAATGTCTTCTGAAAGATCTTGCTAACAAGCTCAAATGAGAGCAACCCGGATCCAAGAGGAGATGTCTTCTAGCAGTGCAAGAATATATAATAGAAGAACATCGCCGATTAAGTAACAGTTTAAATGCTAAACTGGGCACACTGGATGAGAAGAAAGAGACTTTTTTTAACACTCTCCTTTCTCTTCTTAACAAGGAAATTGTTCCTTCAGTAACTCTGAAGCTCATTTCTTTTACTAGAGTCTTTCAATGTAACATTAAATTTAAAGATGGACTCTTTTTGTACTAGAACAGAGCAACACAATGTGGTGTCCTACATTGTCCATAATCCCTTACCACTGGCCATGCTGGCTGGGGCTGATGGGAGCTGTATTCCAGAACATCAGGAGGGGACCAGTTCCCTCCCCCAATTGAGACCACCATTTGTCATGTGGTGTCTGCTTAAGTACACAGACTTTTGCCTGCTTAAGCATACACTTGTTTATACCTAGCCTGTTATCTGTAGCTTCTAGATATAAGCTGAAGCAACTTTTAGCATTACACCACTCCCCAATTCCTTGATCTCTGAATAGTTACTGAGTGTAGTAATAGTAGCAGCTACCAAAACACTTACTATTTATACAGTTAAATATACTGTATAATACTATTGCATGTATAAGCAAGCAGAATCAGCTGTAGCCCTAACTCCAGGTTTTCAATCCCTTGAACCAGAGATCATCCCTGGAATCCTTAGAATAAAAGTGCTTCTGTGATGATGTGGAGTTGCACTTACTACTGAGTAGCTAAAGCTCAAGCTTTTCTCACATCCGGGGTTGTTGTGGAATACTTCAAGATCTTCTAGGCAAGCTGGAGCTCAAAAACAAGCTTTGCTGGTATGATTGACTATTGGAACTAGGGCGGGGTGTGGATAGGCTCAGAAACAACTTGGAAATAATTACCTTGTTATAACCTGAGCCTTCAGTCTTGCCTAGTCTCGGAAGTAGCCCCGACCATTCCGGTTACCTCCGTCTTCTTCCCTTCACCCAGAATTCTTATTTCAGTAGCAGTGACAAGTGTGTGTCTGAGTGTGTAGGGAGGGGAACCATCAGCATGGGCAAAAATCACCTCTTGGTCATTGCTTGTCCTAAACAAATGTATCAAAATAACCCATCTGAAAAGAAACACTGTAATAGCTTAAACTACACCCCCAAAATACAAATGTAACAGTGAGACATGGTTGTCACTTACTCTGTTCTTTCTTGTTTTTCAGTAGAGGATACAACACATTCAGACTCAAAAATATTGGTATTACAAGCCTCATGTCACACCCAGAATGCCCAAGTATGACTACTATTTGCCATAGCTCAAAGTCCTATTTTCTTGATTTTCTGGAAGTTTTGGAATCTTTTTCTGTGTGAAAGCAAAAGATCTAAAAAGGGAAGGAAGGAAAGAAAAATATGAAGAGGAAGATGAGCAAAGAGAGAAATGGTCTAGGAGAAAGTGGCAATGATCTTAAAATATGGACTGTAAGGAAGATTTGGGCGGGGAGGAAAGGAAGAGATTGTGAGAGGAATGTGTGAGGATGACAGGGGTGGGCAAGATGGGAGGAATGTAGTTAGTAACATCATGGCTAGCTTTTCAAGAAGGTAAAACTTCTTGAATTTTGAGTCCCGGCATGTGCTCTGTGTGACATTTGCTTGACCATGACTTTATATGTATATCCAGTGTACTAAGTATGCATTCATAGTTATTTATAAGGGATCACCTCATAACTGATTCTGTGCTTGGCCCTTTCCAAGCCAGAACTGGGGCTAGATCGTGAATGGATTTGATGGAGTACTTCACCATGTTGGTAGAAGCTACATACACAGTCAATGTTACATTCCCCAAATTTAGAGGACAGACCTTAAAGAGGAAAGTCAATTTGTATAACATGGACTGCTGAGGGGTCTTGTCCACAGCTCCCCTAGAGGGGCTTGGGTTATGCTTTCCAATCTTGTTACCTGAGTCTACTTGATAGAAGTTGCTGGAAATCGAGCACTGGTCCTCATGACGTGTGCCAGGCCTGAATTGTCACTCCTTCTATTGTGGCCCTTTCCTTTGCCCATAACCAGTGAGGTCGCACTGAAATGATGCTTTCTCTAGAAAACCAGGGAGGGTGTCAAAATACCCCTCACTTCTGAGTTGGTTCTTCTGTGTTTTTGTGCATAATACTTTCAGGTTTGTAGTGCCAAACTATGCAGGAGCCAATCAATGATTTTGGTGAGGTTGCTCTTACCGAGATTTGGAGATATGAATGCAGCAGACAGCTTGACACGGATCTCTCTGCTGTAGCTTGCTGTATCACTGTAGTGTGTCGTAAGTGCTGGAGGTTCTGATATCACTGAAGGCAACGTAAAGGTGGCAGAAAACACCTCGCTTCACATTGTATTATCAACCCATGGAGTCATTGAAAGTTGAGGAAACTAAGGGGCACTGTAGGCAGCCTGACAAGGTTTGAGATATTTGGTGTAAGAAACAAAATTACTCCCCCCACCCGCCCCCGAAAGGTAAAGACAGTCCTGTGTGGAACGATTAGTGCAGTATATAAATTAAATAAATAAGCAAGCAAGCAAGCAAGCTTAGATGCCAAGAGACTCTATGGCACATGTACAAGGTTATTATTTTAAAATGCTTGTATCTCACCTTTCTGCCTGAAACAGAAGCACTGAAGGTGGATTACAGTAAATGATTAGTGAAATGACAGTTTAAAACAGTATTTGGATTTTCTGATGCAGATTTTTTAAAAACAGGCCAATAGATCCTGATCAAGATATAAATTGAAGTGAAGAAGTAAAAGAAATCGTACCATACCGCCTTGTAATTGTTAGCAAATCCCTAAAGGCTGTAACAATATTGACGGCTCCCCTCCCCAGCAGAGAAATGTCCATCTCTGAACTCAGTGGCTCATGTGCATCCCTGGCCCAGTGCAAGGCTTTGCCACAGCCACCGCTCACACTACGCGCCTGCACATGCTGGCCTGGTTATCCATATGCAGTGCAGGGAGGAAGGGAGGCTGGGCAGCCAATGTGGCCTGGGGTCTGTCCATCCCTCCCTGACCCTGCCATGCCCCCCCCTTCCCCCTCTGAAGCCCACCTATGCACTCGAGGGGCTGCAGCCGGCGTGGCTCCTTCCCTGCTCTGCCTCCAGCCTCTCAGCACCAAGAGCACAGAGCCCTGCCAGGAGGCCCCGAGGGGCACCATAAGCGCTCTGCCCCCCATGCTGATGTCCTGAGTGTCATGGAAGGAAAATATTCAAGGTTTCCTGTGACTAAAGTTACAGTACTTGTTCTTCTGCTAGAGAGAGCATTAAAAATACATTGAATGCAAGAGGAGTTAGAAGACCAGAGGAGCTAGGATGAGTGGCCACTGCAGGAAGCACCTTTTTGTTCCTGATCATGGTGTGTGCTGGTTGGAAAGACCCATCTGGCTCCAAAGTTATGGCCTTCCGAGCACACAGTGAAGGTTCCATAATTTCCTCAGGCATTTTAAGATTGCTTTTGAGAACACTTAAAGATCTTCCATGCCTTTAGCTTTTCTGCATTGGTATTAATGCTTCTTGTACTGTGACTGGTTTTTATTCCATTTGATTTTTAAGACTCTGCCCATTTTATGGGGTTTGTTCTCAATGTTTATTGTTAACTGACCAGATAACATTATTAATTAATAATTAATAATCATTAATATTGTTAACAGATTGTGTAAAATACATACATACAAGCTAAAGTAAACATTTTTTGGTTTTGTACCCACAGAAAATATGTCTAGTGCAACATGAAAGCATTTTTGATGTAGTCTGTAAAGGCGCTATATCACTATGTTTACTTATTGGCTATAGCTATTGGCCTTAAGTTTATCCCAAACAGTAAGAGGCTCAGAATGAATTAAGCAAGCTTAACAACTGCTTTCTGTTGTTATTTACCAGTAACTGGAGATAAAACAGGCATTGCACTTCGAACAACTCTAACCAAACAGGCAGCTTTCAAGGAAACTTTCTGATTATTAATCCTAGCAGATCAGGAGCTCTGCCTTAGTTTTCCCTCCAAAACCTGCTCCTTTCTCCAGCTGCTTTCCAGTGTGCAGTCAAGAGCAGTTTCCACCCTGCAATGGAAACACAGAAGAGTGGTGAGCCAGCATTACACACAAATGCCATTCAAATAAATATGTTGCTTCCCATGAAAGAAGGCCACCCAGCACCCTGTGCTTCTGCATCTGGAAATCTGTTGATGTATAGGAGGAAGCAACGCTGTGGCTTTCCTCTGGGCATCCCTCCCCTGCCACCTGCAGACACACCACAAGTCCCTGTGGTAGTCACAACGTTTAGCGGCATTTGCACCTTCTCTGAGCCTGAGCCTGGACTTTTAACTTGTGCTGCAGGAGGAAGGGATGTTTCCGTGTTGTCTCTTGCAAACTGGTCAGCTTTGCTCAGGGCAATTCTAAGAACTGGATGTGATTGGTGACTTCAGTCCAATGGCTTCCTTTGCAATGAATCCACCACCAAGAGAAGAGAAGAGAAGAGAAGAGAAGAGAAGAGAAGAGAAGAGAGAAGAGAACTCTTATCACTTCTGTCTGATAAACTGGGGGTGGGAGGCTAAAGAGAGCAGTGGGGAGGCTGGAAAGGGCAGCTGCAAGATGCCTGGCAGTTTGGGGAAGCTGGTGGGGGCTGCCATTTGGCAGTGGTGCCCCAAACAGTTTCTCAAATAGCCAAAACTGCCCAGGGGTCTCAAAAGCTTGCCTACCCAAGTGTAAGCAAATCAGCTGGAAGGGAACGGGAGTGCTTGTGGGCTTGTATGTACCCATTTTTCCCTGCTCCTACGCATTGATAAGGCTGGCTCCTGCCATGCTCTGGAGAAAGGTATTCCAGCTTAATTAGCTACTAATGGCCAGAAGAGGATGCCACATTCTTTGCTCCTGGTGTAATGTGTCATCCTGGGGGCACCCAAGAGCCTCTGTACCAGAAAGCTGAACGTTGTGGTTCCACTTGGCTTGTCCTGCTCCTCACCCGGTTTGAGTCTCCGTGGTGTTGTTAGCCTGCATCCATGCTAACAATCCCACTTCTCATCAGCTGTGCATTTACACGTTTTCTGCTTTATCCCAGTCATCGAATTGTTGTACCTGTGTATATCACCCTCCAATATACCCCTACCCTCTAACTATAGCAAATGCTTAAAGAAGCTGAAGCAGCAGTGAGTTGGAAGGCATATCGAAATCTACTGGTAGATTTGCCAGAGACCAGCAAGCATTTCTGACACCCACTGTTTAATGATAGGAATGCTAAAATGGCTTTCCCACTGGAAAAGTAGAAATAGGCTTAGAATCTCCAATTTGTGGCAACTTCATACAGATTTATATTTGCATATTCAGGCTCTCTGTGTAAGGGATGGGTGCACTAGTTTCATTCCGCTGCAACTGCCAGCCTATATTTACACCTGACTTCATTTGGTGGGCTCTGGTCCTGGGAGACAAAAACAGAATGCAGATCCCGGGAGCCTGACATTTCTCTGTGTCTGTGCAACAGCACTAAAGCCATCTTTATACCAGTCAGGCATAAACCTGGGAAGATGCTGCCTTAACTGAGCAAACATGCAGTATGGATGTGTATGACAGAGAAGCTTGTCAAATCATGTAAGGGGGGGGGAGCAACAGTGGCTGCCCCACTTCATTCCTTACCATTTTAGCCAAATGCTGTTTCCTCGTGTGCCTTCTGGAGTCCCACATCTAAGGCTGCAGGCCCTGTTGAGGCAAGCATAGCATTAAAAAAGGGCAAGCCTGGATACCTCTGTTCTGCCTGGATACAGACAAATTAAAAGATGCCAGGAGAAGCAGGGTAGCAGCAACGGGTGCATCATCCCTCCTTTCATACTATTTTACACAAGCTTTGCCATCAGTGGGGTGTATTTAATCATCGGTGCTGCCAAGAATGACTAATATTTGCAACCTGCAGAATGCTCAGTTTTATTGCATAACAGCACAATAACAATGCAATTGCTGTCAATAGTTCCTCCTAGCAGCTGCCCTACTTAATCTTTTTCTGCTTTGCTGTTGGAAGTATTCATATATTTGCCAAGCACAGACTGAGTCAATTCCCTGAGATATTTTCAAAATGTTGCCATGTAGCTATGGCTAAATTGTAATCAACTCCTTTTAAATAAACATGCTTTATTCAGATTGGGAAGCTGATTTTGAAGACACAGCTTTAAGCTGTGTCTGCATGCTACATTTATGCATATTTTTAAGCATGGTTCTCCTCTAGCATAATAGCCAGAATCTACAATTCTTGTAAATGTAATTGAAAGTGGTGTGCCTCCTGTCCCTGCTAAACAACAAGGTCTTGAATTATTTTAGAAACTGAAAATAGGCTAGCCGTGCTGGATGAGGCCAAACTCCATCCAGACCAGCTTTCTGTTTTCTACAGTGGTCACCTCTGGAAAGCTTGCAGGCAGGGTCATGAAGGTGATGGTTCCCAGCAACTGGAATTTAGGGAGACATGATGCACACATTGGGAAGTTTCAGTGAGGCGAGCTCAGAGATGCTTGACTCCAGCACTAACGGACATTTCCAAGAGGCAGAAAACCAAGCATGTTGCATGTTCGAAGGAGGCATCACAAGTTTTGCCAGAGATACAGTTACAAGTTACAATGGGGTTTGTGCGTCAGTCAATATAATCTGGCTTTTCAGGATAAAATCAACGGTAAATTAATGAACTAACCACTAGGTGGCAGAATAGGCAAATGAAACTCCAGGAAGCCCGTGGTTGAAGTAACACGCAGTTACAGGATAGTCATGATTTATTGTGTTGCTCCTAATAGAACCAGAAAGTGTTTGCCATTTTTAACTATCCCTTTCCTGGCCTCCATGGCCTTTGAAGAAAGCTTAAAATGACACCAAAATAGACATTTTGCTGTGAACAATGGGCAATCCACAGGGACACCCTCCTTCCATGATACCTGTGACTCCCAGCTCAGTGGGGCCCCTCATCCGCTGCCCCTTTGCTTCCCAGCTTTGCTTTCCAGTGGAGCTGTCTGTGGTGCTGAACTCCATCCCTCAAATAAGACTAGTACCATGGAGCAGCATGAATGGCTCCTATAAAGTTGAGAAGAAAAGCTTGGTGCATGAAGAAGCCCACACATGCGGGTGATGTGAACATCTCAGAGCCAAGCATAAAGAACTGCACTAGACACCTTTCTGGCTGACACTAGTCTTCAGGCATCTTGGCCACCTGCTGCTTACTCTAAGAAGAGCAGGTGGTGGCAACAGGGTCGGTAAGCGTGTTGGAGACGCGGCAGTGGAAGAAGTGGCAGGTGAGGGAGGACAGCGTTGGTGGCAGATCTTCCTGACGAGGGTGGGAGAACACACAGTGCCCTCGCACCTGCTGCCTGGATTCACAGCACCTTCTCAGCACTGCCC